TTACTTTACTTTTACTCTTTACTTTTACTCTTTAGTTACTCCTTTAATTTACTTTTACTCTTTACTTTTACTCTTTACTTTACTCCTTTACTTTACTTTTACTCTTTACTTTTACTCTTTCCTTTACTCCTTTACTTTACTTTTACTCTTTAGTTACTCCTTTAATTTACTTTTACTCTTTCCTTTACTCCTTTACTTTACTTTTACTCTTTAGTTACTCCTTTAATTTACTTTTACTCTTCACTTTACTCCTTTACTTTACTTTTACTCTTTAGTTACTCCTTTAATTTACTTTTACTCTTTACTTTTACTCTTTACTTTACTTTTACTCTTTACTTTTACTCTTTACTTTACTCCTTTACTTTTACTCTTTATTTTTACTCTTCACTTTACTCCTTTACTTTACTTTTACTCTTTACTTTACTTTTACTCTTTATTTACTCCTTTAATTTACTTTTACTCTTTACTTTACTCCTTTACTTTACTTTTACTCTTTAGTTACTCCTTTAATTTAGTTTTACTCTTTACTTTTACTCTTCACTTTACTCCTTTACTTTACTTTTACTCTTTACTTTACTCCTTTACTTTACTTTTACTCTTTACTTTTACTCTTTAGTTACTCCTTTAATTTACTTTTACTCTTTACTTTTACTCTTCACTTTACTCCTTTACTTTACTTTTACTCTTTACTTTTACTCTTTACTTTACTTTTACTCTTTACTTTTACTCTTTACTCCTTTACTTTACTTTTACTCTTTACTTTTACTCTTCACTTTACTCCTTTACTTTACGTTTACCCTTTACTTTACTTTTACTCTTTATTTACTCCTTTAATTTACTTTTACTCTTTACTTTTACTCTTCACTTTACTCCTTTACTTTACTCCTTTACTTTACTTTTACTCTTTACTTTACTTTTACTCTTTACTTTTACTCTTTACTTTACTCCTTTACTTTTACTCTTTACTTTTACTCTTTACTTTACTCCTTTACTTTTACTCTTTAATTTTACTCTTTACTTTACTCCTTTACTTTACTTTTACTCTTTACTTTTACTCTTTTTGTTTTACTCTTTACTTTACTTCTTTACTTTACTTTTACTCTTTACTTTACTCCTTTACTTTACTTTTACTCTTTACTTTACTCCTTTACTTTACTTTTACTCTTTACTTTACTCCTTTACTTTTACTCTTTACTTTTACTCTTTACTTTACTCCTTTACTTTACTTTTACTCTTTACTTTTACTCTTTACTTTACTTCTTTACTTTACTTTTACTCTTTACTTTACTCCTTTACTTTACTTTTACTCTTTACTTTACTCCTTTACGTTACTTTTACTCTTTACTTTACTCCTTTACTTTTACTCTTTACTTTACTCTTTACTTTACTCCTTTACTTTACTTTTACTCTTTACTTTTACTCTTTACTATCTCCTTTACTTTACTTTTACTCTTTACTTTTACTCTTCACTTTACTCCTTTACTTTACTTTTACTCTTTACTTTTACTCTTTACTTTACTCCTTTACTTTTACTCTTTAGTTACTCCTTTAATTTAGTTTTACTCTTTACTTTTACTCTTTACTTTACTCCTTTACTTTACTTTTACTCTTTACTCTTTTACTTTACTTTACTCCTTTACTTTACTTTTACTCTTTGCGTTACTCCGTTACTTTACTTTTACTCTTTACTTTACTCCTTTACTTTACCTCTTTACTTTTACTCTTTACTTTACTCCTTTACTTTACTTTTACTCCTTTTCTTTACTTTTACTCTTTAGTTACTCCTTTAATTTACTTTTACTCTTCACTTTACTCCTTTACTTTACTTTTACTCTTTACTTTACTTCTTTACTTTACTTTTACTCTTTACTTCACTCCTTTACTTTACTTTTACTCTTTAGTTACTCTTTTAATTTACTTTTACTCTTTACTTTTACTCTTTACTTCACTCCTTTACTTTACTTTTACTCTTTAGTTACTCCTTTAATTTAGTTTTACTCTTTACTTTTACTCTTCACTTTACTCCTTTACTTTACTTTTACTCTTTACTTTTACTCATTACTCCTTTACTTTACTTTTACTCTTTACTTTACTCCTTTACTTTACTTTTACTCTTTACTTTACTCCTTTACTTTACTTTACTTTTACTCTTTACTTTTACTCATTACTCCTTTAATTTACTTTTACTCTTCACTTTACTCCTTTACTTTACTTTTACTCTTTACTTTACTTTTACTCTTTACTTCACTCCTTTACTTTACTTTTACTCTTTAGTTACTCTTTTAATTTACTTTTACTCTTTACTTTTACTCTTTACTTCACTCCTTTACTTTACTTTTACTCTTTACTTTTACTCATTACTCCTTTAATTTACTTTTACTCTTCACTTTACTCCTTTACTTTACTTTTACTCTTTACTTTACTTCTTTACTTTACTTTTACTCTTTACTTCACTCCTTTACTTTACTTTTACTCTTTAGTTACTCTTTTAATTTACTTTTACTCTTTACTTTTACTCTTTACTTCACTCCTTTACTTTACTTTACTTTTACTCTTTAGTTACTCCTTTAATTTACTTTTACTCTTTACTTTTACTCTTCACTTTACTCCTTTACTTTACTTTTACTCTTTACTTTTACTCATTACTCCTTTAATTTACTTTTACTCTTCACTTTACTCCTTTACTTTACTTTTACTCTTTACTTTACTTCTTTACTTTACTTTTACTCTTTACTTCACTCCTTTGCTTTACTTTTACTCTTTAGTTACTCTTTTAATTTACTTTTACTCTTTACTTCACTCCTTTACTTTACTTTTACTCTTTAGTTACTCCTTTAATTTACTTTTACTCTTTACTTTTACTCTTCACTTTACTCCTTTACTTTACTTTTACTCTTTACTTTACTTTTACTCTTTATTTACTCCTTTACTTTACTTTTACCCTTTACTTTTACTCTTTACTTTTCTCCTTTACTTTACTTTTACTCTTTACTTTACTCCTTTACTTTTACTCTTTACTTTTACTCTTTACTTTACTCCTTTACTTTTACTCTTTACTTTTACTCTTCACTTTACTCCTTTACTTTACTTTTACTCTTTACTTTACTTTTACTCTTTACTTTTACTCTTTACTTTACTCTTTTATTTACTTTACTTTTACTCTTTACTTTACTCCTTTACTTTAGTTTTACTCTTTATTTACTCCTTTAATTTACTTTTACTCTTTACTTTACTCCTTTACTTTAATGCACAGTTAACGCGCTCTGCACTAGACTTTATCTGTGCAATCTTTTTCAATTGCTCACGATAGCAATGCTCCAGCAATGCCCCTTAACACTATCTTTCTAGACCAGCACATCCATGAGTCCACAATGTGGCATAAATGGATTTGCTATTTAAACAACATGGCGCATCGGGAAAGTTGCGTTGGTCTGAAAATAGCAACATATCATAGCAAACAAGTCTTGTGTCTTATTGAGCCAGGGTGTATGATATGGCCTAAAAAACTACAAGAAAACGCAATCTTTCTAGTCTCTCTACTTCCAAATTTCTTAAGTTTTAAGTTTGTTTTGTACATGTATTAGTATTTTCTGAATGAGAACACTGAACAACGGAGACATTATTATAGTTTTTCTTTTTAGTTGTTATTTTTTTATTGCTTATGTAATATTTAATTTTTATTCAGGCTACATAACTGTTTCAGACATTTTAAATAAATTTATTAATTATATAAGATATATTCATAATGGATTACTTTTAAACTCTACTTATTTAAAACTTATTTTAAATATTATCTTAAAATTAAATGTATAAACAGCAGAAGTTAGAATTATTGATTAGAATTATTTATAATATATTATTAATAATATATATTATTTATAATTATTAATTAATTATTATTAGAAATAAATATTTGTAAATATTATATCAGATTCAAACACAACTTTAAATAAAATATATTGTATAATTTAATTTATTAATTTTATTGTTACGGGACGTTTCTTTGTATTTACTTTGTGAGTGTGTGTTGAGTAAGGCTGTTGTTGTGTTTGTGCCCAGAGATTTTCCACATTACCGGAGTGTTTCGCGCTGGTTGTCTTTTGAAGCTCTCAGGAAAACCAGGAAGGAAAATCCGATTAGTAACGAATCCACATTAGAGAAACAGCAGCGCCTCACATCCTGTCACACCTCACTCAGTGAAAACACACACTCACACAGACATACACATACACAGATATGCATACACAAACACACACACTCATATACACACATAGAGATACATATACATACACACACAGAGAGACCTATACATACAGACACAAACATATACACAGACACACATGCACACAAACACAGACATATACACATAAACATGCACGCAAACACACAGAGACACAGAGAAACACATATACATAGACACAAACATACACAGACACATACAAATACACACACACACACACACACACACACACATATACATAAACATGCACACATACATACATAAACATGCGCACACACACACACACACACACACACACACACACACACACACACACACACACACACACACACACACACACACACCGGCCACTTTATTAGGTAAAAATTAGTACCAGGTTGGACCCCCTTTTGCCTTTAGAACAGCCTTTCAGCAACAGATTCAGCAAGCTACTGGAAATATTCCTCAGAGATTTTGCTCCATATTGACATGATAGCATCACACTATAAACATTAGCGCTCTGTTCCTCTCAGTAGTTTTGAGTGTTTAAGTAAGTGAACGAGTGTTAATGTTGAGTATAACAGTAATTGAGTGAGTGTTAATATCGAGTGTGTAACAGTAAGTGCACTACGTAGTGAGTGTTAGCGTTTGTAGTGTAACAGTAAGCGTACTATGTAGTGAGCGAGTGTTGAGTGTGTAAGAGTAAGCGCCCTATGCAATGAGCAAGTGTTGAGTGAGTCACAGAAAGTGCCCTATGTAGTAAGCGAGTGTTTGTGTGCAGGAGGAGGAGATTCCGGAGCTGGAGATCGACATTGATGAGCTTCTGGAGCTGACAGATGAAGAGCAGAGATCCAGACTGCACGTATGATACGATATAACATCTGATAACATCACACACTAAGCACTATTTCTGAACACACTGATCCTGAACCTGCCCTTCTGTTTTACAGGAGCTTTTACAGGATTGCGGAAAGCCAAAAGAGGTACACAGACACTCTCTCACTCACACACACACACACACACACACACATATAAATAAATATAATTATTATTATTAAACAAAATTTTTTCTAACATTATAGGTAATAATAATAATAATAATAACTACAATGATAATAATAGCATTAATAATAATAATAATAATAATAATAGCAATAATAATATAAAAAAAGAATAATAATAATAACATTATTATTATTATTATTATTAATAACAATAGCAATAATAATACCATTAATATTAATAATAATAATAGCAATAATAATACCATTAATAATAATAATAATAATAACATCAATAAAATTAATAATAATAATAATAGTACTAATAGTTCCATTAATAATAATAATAATAATATTAATAATAATAAAAATAATAACAACATTATTAATAATAAGAATAATCATAACAACATTAATAATAATAGCAATAACAATACCATTAATAATAATAATAATAGCAAAAATAATACCATTAATAATAATAATAATAGCAATAATAATACCATTAATAATATTAATAATAATAATACCATTAATAATAAAAATAATAGCAATAATAATACATCAATAATAATAATAATAATAATATCAATAATAATACCATTAATAATATTAATAATAATAATGCCATTAATAATAAAAATAATAGCAATAATAATACATTAATAATAATAATAATAATAAACATAATAATATTAAAATTAATAATAAAAATATTCATAAAAATA